AAAATGAATCACACTCTTGAAAAAATCTCCTTTTTTCTCCAGTCACAAAATGGGGCTCGCAATACTTACATGCATCTGGGAAGTCCTTTGGGTAACAAAACCCTCACCACATGCAAGATCTTCTCTAAAAAGAGCGTCATTTGCCTAGTGATTTGCTTTTATTGTTCTGGTATTAAAAAAAAAAGTCTCTACACAAATTTTGGAGTGTTACACTGAGTTTATTTTGAAAAAGAAATCAAAGAATGTTTTTTTCATCTCTGAGCCAGATGGAAAGAAAAAACAAACGTATTCCACCCTAAGAAAGAAAACACATGAGAACTTAAAAAAAATTTTTTAGCCAAGTTTTTTGATTTTTTTTTTTCTTTTCACTAAACAACATGGAAAAAGTGAGATGGAGATGGTGAATGAACAAATAGACTCTGGTTTTAGGAAGGCCTGGTTTCTGGGGAACAAGGGTTTTGTCCATAAGGCACAGTCCTTTCCCATCTATAGATGTCCAAACTACCTCCAAGTGAACGCACCGGGAGCCCTACAGCCGCTGCCTCCTCCTCCTCCCACTCCTGCCTAGGCCCTGGGAGACGCAGGACATCCCAGCGGGTGGGACATCCCCTGGGCAGCTGTCCTGCGGCCAGTCCCTCACCAGGGTGAGCCCCAATGCCCACATGCAGAGCCTGCTCCAGGGGTGGCTGGGCATCCACAGAGGAGCAAACATCTCTGGGGCATGCAGAGACACCCGCAGAAGTGAGAGGGAAAAAAGCAAAGCAAGTCTAGAGGCTGGGGATGCAGACATTTTGTTCTCTTTGGATGCTACATCTGTGTAAGTTGCTCTGCTTTTAACCAAGGAAGCTGCACTGGGCAAAAGTAGTTTTGTTTTCTCACATGTGAATTGACTCGGCTGCCTTTCCTCTGCCCGCTGCGGAGCGGTTTCCTCCAACAGCCAGTGGCTGCTGTCCGGCCAGCTCCTCGCCTTGCCAGTGATCAGAGACCAGTTCCTGCTACTTGATAAAAACAGAGGAGCTACTTGCCAGGAACAGAAAATTAAAAGAGGAGGTCAGCCATCAGAGGGAGAGAAAGAGCAAGATCAGATTAGCCGTTGTTAAATTAGACTCAGTAATGGCTAGTCTAGGGACTCATCCTGCTCTACTTGAGTCAAGACATCCTTCACTTAGGGGCACATCTGAGGTGCTCCATGTGCTTCTGCCAGGACAGTGAACTGCAAGAGGGAATTCTTGCTTCTGAAGACCTTCTTAAAGATCTTGTTCAGCTCAGACCTTTAAAATCAAGTTTCTAGCACACAGGTGCTGCAAGAACAGCACACTCAAACTGAAATTAAGGGACAAAATAGCCAGTCATGCTTAGAACTAAGATGGTATAAGTGAGAAGAAAGGCTTTAATGAAAATAATTTTAATCAGTTTGATTTTTAACAGCTATGAATGCTTCTGGCTCCATAGCTCTCCGGTCTCCACATCTCTCTTGGTTACACAAGCATGCACAGGGTAAACAACATTCACTTTCATGTCTCCACTTCATGCTTCCTTTATTGGAACATTTGCAGATATTATTTATAGACACCAAAGGGGATGAGACTTTGAGATTTATACGCTCTAATCAGCTGAAGGTGTTTCCAAATAAATTAATGAAAGAAGTCAGAAATGACATTAAGAAATCCAGCACTGGATGTAAATCACAGTGACTTTGCACCCTCTCTGCCTTCCCCTCCCCTTCCTGCAACAGTCCTAGTACTTGCCAGGGTATATGAACTCGCATTTAGTTTGATGTAAAACAAGAAAAAGGATGATGGAAACGTGTACTCAGTATGCCAGGTTACAGTATTTGTGCATAAGAAGGAAAGCCAAAACTTGAGCTAGGACAAAATAATTTCCTATCACTTAAAACTTTCCATACAACCTGCATTATCGCTCAGACCATACAGAAAGCAGATTTAACAGGGATGTTTTCCAGACCCTGTGTGGCAGCTCTGACTTCCATGACAATTTCTTGGACCTTTCTGGTGTCCTGCTTGCATCCCTGCCAATCTCTCCCTTCTGTTACAGGTTCCTGAGCTGTCTTAACACTCTCCTGGTCCTCCCAGTGATTTCAATCTTATTGCCTTTTGACACGTTTGTTTCCCTCCTGCTGGGTCAGAAGGATGGTCTGTCTCAGCCCGCCTGGCTGCTCAGGCCAGATCTGAAGGGTGACTGAACAGGTCAGGCATGCAACCGCAGCATCCCTCTTAGCCAGTTCTGCCTAACAGCTACACTCTTTGCTTTAAATGTGTGAACAGAGAGCTTGAGCCCAGAGATATTCCATTTCTCAGTTAAAGATGGACAATTAGAGCATTATTAGAGATAATTACTAGAGATAATTACAATCCGGCATTGACATTCGCTTTGAAATGAGCATTTAATTCATGAACTTGTTGCATCCTTAGACTGCCCTAGTTCAATGGTTATTTCCATGCTAAGACCACCCAACTGCCCGTAGCTTAGTGTAGCTGCTGTGCTAGTTTTCAATGAGCTAAGCAGCTCTTGCTGCTAAACAGCCATTTCTGTAACCTTATGCAGGCATAAGTGCAGCTATAGCTGTTGATCACCACTGTGCAAAAAAGTGCTTTAGAGGGAGTGGAGGACACTAGATGACTCTTGGATCATCTCATCTTGATATGTACCATCACTGCTGTTGCTGAAGGAAGAGGATGAAATTGCAGCCAGGGCTTACACAGAGGCTTCTCATGAACTTCTTTTGTCAACAGAAGTCTACCACATCAGTAAAAAGCAAGAACACTTAACATGGCAGATGCTCAGAATGGGCTTATTTCACCTAAATAAGCCAACATTCAAAACAAAGGTAGCAGTGCTTCTAACTCAGTGTGGCTCTGCAAAGCTCCACTCACCAGGGTTTGTGAGGCTCTCTGGGTGTGCAAAGTAATAGTTTTGTACCTCGTTTTCCAAAAATAGCAGTTTAACGTTATGTCCACAGACACTGTGTAAATATATATGTAAATGGCACAGCATGTATCTACACACAACTCCTAGGTACAGCATGACAGAGTGCGGCAGAATCACATTGTATTCAAAACCTGATGAAAAAGCCAAAAGAAAAGCCTCAGGAAATCTAGACCGTCTGAAGAAAAGCCCTGCCTCCAAGAGGGCAACACATGGTTTCTGCAGCTGTAATACACCTTTCTCTTGTAATTAAACATATGCAATTTTCATGTTGTTCCTGTCTCATAGCTAATACATACCTCAAGACAGATTCCCAAATGTGACATTTGTGAATTTTCTTTAAGAAAATTATAGTTAAAGTGACAAAGCCACCCCTCCAGCCCCCAAGTGAACACTGAAGGGAGTGTGGGATGTAGGAAAGCAGCAGTCTTTAACTGGTGGGCCTGAGGAGGAATATTTGAAAATCAGAAGTACAAAATCTTGTGTCTTTCCAACAGAGCTGGAGTATTCCAACAAACTTATCTGCATTCAGCCAAGGTAAACGGCAGGTCAGGAGGCAATGGAAAAACAACTCTCCTTCCCAAGAAGCCAAAACAACTTCCTTTGTGGTATAGAGTGTAGCCGTGCAGAGTATAAAAACTGGGAACTGAAACCAGGGGTTCTGCTAATGAACTTTAACTGGTTGCTAATTTTTTTAATTCCTGATAAGCAGCACTGCTGCCTAGACAATGGCTCATGGGACCATGGAGGAAACTGGCTGGGTGATGATATCATCTCATTAGCTACACTGCTTTCTATTTTGCAGCATATTTTATTTTCTAGTTTGTTTGGGAGAGAAGAACTGGTCCAAGAAAAGAGAGAGATTGATTTACAAAGGACTTTGGAGAAATGCAAGTTGATTAGACTTTTCTGAGTATGGCATGTTTCTCTTACCAAATTTTGAAATCTGTCTTAAAAAGAAACATATTTCAGTGTGTGCAGTTTCTTTGTTTCTGTTTTCATAAAATCCTTCATCTGGGCTTGACTTGCAATATGGGTAATACCTACTGGGGCAGAATTCCTCATGAGAAGGTAGAAGGAATGAAAACATTTCAAAACCATTCTTAAAAGTTGGTGATTTACTTCTGTGGCATTTTCTCATGAGTAGGGAGTATGGCAGGCAGGAAGGCAGGAAAGCAGGCAGGCTGGAAAGAAGGAAGGCAGGCTGGAAAGAGGGAAGGCAGGCTGGAAGGCAGGCAGGCAGAAAAGGCAGGCAGACTGGCAAGAAAGAAGGAAGGCAGGCAGGTACGCAGACAGGAAGGAAAAAGCTTTTAGTAATATGGTCTTTGCGTAGTACCCTGATGGAACAGTGGCTGTGATCAGAGCTATAATGAGTATCTAGTCCTTAGTCAACTTAATTGTTACACATGCAGACTAGACTGCATATAATAAGGAAAACACTATCTAAAATCTGCTTTAAAAGTTATTTAACCAGAACAAATCATCTGGGAAAGCACAAATATTTCTAACTGGAAAAATATTTCTCTATAGCTGAGCTAGGCCTGACAGCAAACCTTAATGAATTATTAGTACCTTTACTGTTTTCTTTGGCCCCTGTGCACTATATTTGTAAAAAAGTCAGTAAAAAAGAGAACAATCATAAAAAGCAATTATTTTGTACAAAAATACAACGTTTTAAAAGCTCTTAAAAGTATATTCCATATTATTGATAAGAGTTGGACTATATATATATATTTTTTATAAAATCTATATATTCGTGTATCTGTATAATTTTCCTACATTTGGGATTTTAGCAAATGAAACATACTGTTTACACAGTTGCTTTATATGTTTTTCTATATGAGTGACCAACAGTCTTACTCAGATTGACAAAATGTCTTTTCTCAGAGGACACAAGTTGCTTATGTATGTGGTCACTGGTTGGGAAAAAAATCTATAACAGAATTAGTCCAACGGTATTTCCTGATGCTGTGGGTTGAAAGGCCTCAAATAATTGCAGGATGTTGGAGAAGAGTTGCTGCTGAATTCCTTTATGTATTTAAACCAGTTTTCACTGCTTTCTTTTGTTGTTTTTCAATTTCAGTAGGCAATGTTGCTCTCTCCCAGGATTTTCTTCTTTTTTAAGTAAATTTCCATAATACGTAGGTATCTGTAAAGTCACAGCCTATTACACTCCAAATATTTGCCCTACAGTATGAGAGAAAAAAGAAAAACAAAGAGAAAAAAAAATAATGTAAAAACCCTGAGAAGATTAAATGCATTTCCAAAAACAAAACTTAAAGAGATCAAGGTATGTTAAAAATTTAAGTGGACTCATATTCAGATCCTGCAAGTCCTGGAGAATAAATATTTGTAAACTGTGAAGTTTTCCTAAAATAACAAATGTACGTATGTAGGAAAATGAGGACAAAGTACATTATTACTTACACATGGTCCTTCACTCTGGACACCCAGAGTTATACACACACAAAGCTTATTCAGCACTTTGTTTTGTTATGTTTTAGAGGGGCATTTTTTGTGGATGGGATGTAATTTTGGCTCTAGCTGACATTTCCATCTGCCTTCACTGAAATTCAGCCTCCATTTTTGCAACTGGAGCAGCCAGGCACCCCAGGAGAAGCGAAGTTTAAATAGGTTGTATGGAGGAGATAATGTTTTGGGCAGTCCCACCATGAACACAGATACTACCTAGTTCTATGATGATGGGGCTGGGCTCTAAGCAGCCAGATGAGCCACCTGCCCTCTGCCATAGCAGAAAGGACTATAAAATCAGAAAGACATGCCCTGTGGCAATCACCTGGGTGACTGCTCAGCCATGTTGGCAGTTTATGAGTCCTCCCCACCAACTTCAAGAGATCAGTTGCTTATGGCCTGTGGACACAGTTTCTCAGCCCTATGAGACATCTCCTGGCAGTGGTGGGAATTTTAAGACCTCCATAGCCATCAGCAAGTGCCTCCTGTTGCACATACTCTCAAAAAGAGTCTTTCTGGTTTTTGAAGGCTGGTTCCTGAGACATCCTAAGGCCAGCTTTCCATCTTGTGTGGCCATTGAGTCTATAAAAAATAGCTTCTAGTGTGGCTAGGGTCTGGAGCACTTGCCAAATCGTGCCTGAAATTTGAACCATGTTTGAAGTTTACAGGAGATGGTCAAGATGCAGAGCACACCATGGCTACAGCCAGTTTGGAGGCTGCTCTTTCAGAGTGCAATAAATGCAGCATCTGCATCACACAGAGTATTAGAAAAGCCCACATTGGTCTGGATTTGAGTAGAAGTGTGATTCCCCATCTTCCTCAACAACGCACTGCCACAGCATCTAGCCTGGATCTTCTCCCCTCTAGCTGTGGAAAATTTAATATGGGTAGGGTGAAATAATCAAACCAAGCACCGTTCTTACCTTTGTCCATGTCTTTTTCACAAATGAAATTGTTAACATCTTCACAGTAGAAGTCATTCCAGAGCCCAGCATAGATTAACCCGGCGCAATCTTCCCCTGGCCCATGCCCGTGGCTCCAGTTATCAGGTTGTCCGGTTTTCCAGTTTCTTTCAACCAAAAAGCAAGAGATATGATTGCACAACGTAGCACACATGACAGTTTTTCACCACAAAAAATTAACGAAAACATCATGAGATCTGTTCTGAACAGGAAATACACGTTGAAACAAACAATACATGACTCTTGCTGAAAATGGAAAACAGATGTATTACAGAGAAGGGAATCTATTCGACCTCGGGCTGCCAAAACTCAGAGACCTAAAATTAGACCAATGAACTTTATTTTAGTTTCTGAATGTACACGCAGATTCAGTGGGAGTGCTCCATGCTCCATGTGCATTGCTCCAAGCCTGCAAAGCCTGCACGCTGCGTTCCTGCCGGCAGATGGGACTGAGAAGAGCCGGCCGGCTCCTGAGTGCTGCCCAGGATGGCAGCACCCTGCCACGGCACACTGCAAAGGCACTCAGCCCTCTTGACTGCACCAAGGCGGGTCTCTTAGGAGGCACTGCAAAGATTTATCTGGACCCGTGTTTGGATGGGAAGTGAATTTTTTGACTTATAAGGAACGTACAAAGTATATATACATATATCTTTTGAGATCATTAGCTTTGATGGTGAAATTTAGCGCAGCATGTACAAAGCTAGCAGCAAAACTTCCTCATCCTGTTTTTGTTTAACAAGTGAGAAATGCTTCCAACCTCAGGACTTAAAAGCTCAATTTTTGTGAAGAAACAGGTTGTTGAAGGGAGCTTGTGATTGTTGGCTGATACAGTCCCTGCTCAGCTAAAAAACACACCTGCCTGACACAGAGCATCTAACCAGGCACCTGGGAGGACACATAGCTTTCCAGAAGTAATGAAATATTTGAAAATCAGTAACTGACAGCTCTGAGGTTACAACAGGGCACCTAAAACCATAGTGCAGTGGAAACCTATTGAAAGCTGAAGTGGGAATCAGTCACAGTGCTGCCATAAAGAAAGATGAAAACGGGAAGGGGAGAAAAAGGGAAAAATATTACAGCTCATTTCAAATGCATCTGACTTTTTCCATGTTCCTCATCAAAATGAACACCAATGAGATCACAGCTAATCATTTCGTAACATCTGACAGGCTGTACCCTGTTTTTTTGGAGCACAGCATGCTCAGCTCTATAAACTCTTTAGTCCACTCCTCAGTATTAAAAATTTGGGTGGCTGCAATCCGTTCCATTTAGGACAAATTAGGTGTAGCCCTAGGATTCCTGGAGAGCTGCCAATTCAGTTCTCAGCTGGCCAAAGCTTAGACACCCTCGTTTCATGCATTTTCCTTATGTTTAATGCTTTCCACTTGGATTTGGGCTTTATCTAAAGGCTGGTTGTTTTTTATCAGAACGAGCACTCTATTTATAGCCAGTTGTAATGCAAATAAGGAAAATTCAAACCAAGACAGCAGAATTGTCTGTGCTTTCAATCTCAACTTTGTAATAAAAGTCAGAGCAAATGTTTTGGCAAGAAACACTGTGCTATTTAGTTATGTGATTCTTTCATTCAACATTCAGTTTTCTTGCTGGCAGGGAAAGAAAGCCTTGTGCATGGAGAAGGGAGAGAGAAAAACCAGTTCAACAGCACCCTCAGTAACGAATTATTTCATTGGCATCTACAACTCTCTGGATTCATTGGATAATTTCTAGATTCTGCTTTTAAGAGTGTCAGCAAGACTGGTAGCATCTGCAGAAAATAAACACCATTGTTTTTTATTTACATACGTATAAACTGGTAAGGATCCATCCAGCCATCTCCATTCATTTTCCTTCTCTGAATCCGTAAGTCCAATCCAGAAGCTGCCTTTTCCAAAAATCTGCCTTTTTATCCATTGCTGTGGAAGAAAGATCTTAGTGCATAACAAACAAACACAACTGTCTTTGGAGCCAATAAGCTACCCTAGCTTCATGAGCATCTTTGTTATCAGAATAGGAAGGGCCCTAGAAATTTTTCTAAGTTGAAGATATGTTTCAGCAGTTGGCCTTGTAACCCCTTGCCCATACTAGAATCCAGCACAGTGTTTGCATGCGAGCTAGAGAAAACTAGGCATGAAAATTAGGTTGACGTAAAGTCACAGCCAATGTCTTATAGATACAAATTGAAAAAAACCCAGAGAGTAAGCAATTGTATCTTGATGTCCCCACTGCTATGTAGCCACCCAATAATTATGTTGAACAGTAGTAAAAGTATAGCTAGATTTATACTTAGATTAAAAATATTTTTGGGTCACAGTAGTCCTAGGCTGCATGTATTAAACCTGACAATGTAAAACTAAATTATATTCACCACTGCAAAAAATACATTTCGGATAATATGTAAGGCATAATGGATTCCATCTTTAAAGGTTCAAAAATCCTACAGTTCTTGCCAGCCTTCCTGATTGTCTGTGCCCATCACCTTCAGGGTCAGCACCAGCTCTGCTAACACTGCCCTTCTGCACATGGAGAAGCTGCTGAGCAGGCAGACGGTGGACAAAATGCTAACTGGAGTCAATCACTGTGTCTACTTCACTATATTAATTCATGATGCTCTCAGCTTCCCACTTGCCTTGTGGCTTCCACATGTTAAATAACTTCAAACTCTCTCCTTGAAAAACAGAAAGTAATTACCTGCTCCTCTTTGTTGTTTATGATAACCAAGCGTGATGCCTTCTCTTCACAGAATAACTTTGCCTCTTCAAAAATTTCTCTTTCAATTGAAAAGTAGTAGCACTTTTCTGTGTAGTTCTTCCAATGAGGAGAACAACCTGTGGTGTGAATATTTTTGTGTTAAGCCAGTTACTTGTAACTCAACAAGCCATTGGTAACTTTCTGTATAGGGCCAATAGTAAGTGGAGGATCCCATACCCATCTACTACTACATGCTGCCACTTAGAGTACAGTTTGTGAATTTACTTATTAGGATCCTGACTCTATGGAATTGAGGCTAAACTGTGTGGTCAAGGGGATTATTTATTACTCATACTACTGCTGCTTTTTCTTTAGCTGTAAACATTAACTTAAATCAGTTTCAGGTCATCAGAAGGAAGACCAACAGGTATGTCTTCACTTTACAGGGCTCTTTGTCATAAATCCAAGAGATTTAGTCTAAGGCAGCAGGGGTTATTTGAAGCCGTAACTATCTAGCACCCTCCACTAGATATATTTGTGTCTCAGTAAAAGATGCACAGGGTGTGTTGATAGCTTACCATTAGCCTCAGGCACTGATGTAGGTTCACTTTGTAGGGCCATTGGCATCCCCGGACCTGGTGGCCCTGGTGGGCCAGGTGGGCCCTTTGGACCAGGCAGCCCAGGGACTCCAGGTAGCCCAGGTAGTCCTCGAGGTCCTGGTACCCCTGGCTCTCCCACAGTTCCTTGCAGGCCTTGAAATCCTGGTGGGCCTTGTGGCCCAGGTGGACCGTCTTTGCCTTGTGGACCTGGTGGTCCCGGGTCTCCGCTTGGTCCAGGCAGACCTGTCTTGCCAGGAGAACCTCTGGAACCTTTGGAGCCAGGTGATCCTCTTGAACCTTTCCCTCCTTTTTCTCCTGGCGGCCCAGTTGGCCCAGGTGGGCCCTTCTCACCTGCAGGTCCTGGTGGTCCGGGCTCTCCTTTCTCTCCTTTTTGTCCTTTTAGGCCAGCAGGGCCAAGAGGACCTTGAGGGCCTCTGTCACCTTTAGGTCCCCTTGGACCAGGAGGGCCTGAAACAATGTAAGCATGCAAGGTGGGGATACAGACAGAAAACAAAACAAAAAGCCCATGTGGAGTCCTTGTTTAATATATCTCAGACCATCAACACTATATACTCAGCACTCTGAAAACCAGGCTAACAGCTACTTTGAGCTGTGCTTGTAAAAGTACATCTGCTTCTCAGGCGCTATATACCATTCCTCCTTCTTCAGCCTCCATGAAATACAGGGTATGGAGAAAATAATCTGATGCACTTTGTCCTATGAACTGGACAGTGACACCATGCCCAAGGTGACCACACAAGACACCAGTCCCTGCAAGACACGTTCTGTGCTGTTGATGCACGTGGTCCTGCCTCTTGAAGGTTCTGTTCCCTCACTCTGCTCCTTTTTCCTTCTAGCCCCATCTCTCCACTCTTAGACTATAGGACTCTTTTTCTGGTAACCCTGTTTGCTGCTCTGTGAACAACAGATTGTCAAAAAGAGACAAAAACGATGGATAGCGAGCAACAGGCCAACTGTAGGAAAGACCAGAAGTACTAGTTGCTAATTGGCCAGCTATGATGGGAAAGAGAACAATACCCACGACAGGAAATGGCAATATTGTGTCAGCAATAAACAACAAAATAATTTTGGATTCTGATCACAGATGAGCAAATGCCTTGCCAATATATTCCCCTGCCCCTCCAACTTGAACTCCTCCAGATAAATTCCTATACTGGAGTCACTTAGGCCTGGTTGAAATGAGAAAGGTTAAGGGTACTGACATGTAATCCTGGCTCTAATTCAGCCTTAGTTTTTTTGTAGCAATGGATTTCTATTTGTGATTAGAGATTTAGGCCTGACTGGTTCACATCAGGTTGGAAATATGAGTGTTCTTTTCATTTGGGATAACACTTGGCTGGGAGAAACCTCTTAAACTGGATGCTGTTTATTTCTGGAGAAAATAAAATATCCCAGGATTAAAAACTAAGCAAAGTAGGATGCTTTCTGGCAGACTAACAACTGGCTTAAAGTGAAATAGCAGCTTGTTTTTCAGCAAGGGTGGACCTTTCTGGGAATAGTCCAATGTATATTTTTTAGCCATTTCCTCCTTAGCAGGGATTGGTTTCTTGAGGTTCCACATCTTCACTAGCTTATTTTAGAAACTAAATCAAAAGCAGATCCAGTCAGTCAGTCACTCAGAATAAAATTTTGCTAAGTCAGAACCTTCTTTCGTAACATCCCCATTCTAGGTATGTAGAGAAGGCATAGGAAAATTAGTAAAGAATATTCAAGCTACATTGATATTTCCAGAGTTTGTGATTAGATAGTGGAAAACTCTGTACCAGTGTATACTAACTTCCACAGAAGTAAAGAAGGAATGCAAGCAGTCATTCAGCATGGACCATTATGGGCATCATTAGAGAAGCTGCATACCTTGTAGGATAGTGAAGTTCTTGATGAGCTGGCCATGTTTGGAATCTACCAGCTTCATTTCTTCCATGATTACTGACAAATTGGCAACTTCAACATCTAACCTTGACCTCATCAAATCCTGTTGCATCTTGAGAGATACAGAGTCTAAGCGAATATTGGCTAGTGTGCTGTTCATAAAAATCAGCTCATCTGAATGTTTACTTAAGGTGTCTGTACAAGTTGTCCGGACCTCATTAAGATTGCTAGTCAGTGTCCGTAGATGATGAGCAGTGTAGCTGATGTTGCTAATGATATTGACTATATCGGTTTCGAAGACCTGGAACCTCTCTTCTAGGTGGTTGAATTTGGCAGAAGTTCTGTTTTCATATTCTTTATGCTGTTCCTGGAGATCTTTTAGATTTTGTTCATTGGCTTGGGCAATTGTGGTGATATTCTCCATTTGCCCACTGAAGGAGCTGAGCTGATTGTTCATGTCTTCAAGTGTATCATTGTTAGCTTTTGCCAATGCTGAGTTGTTGGCAGCCAAAGTCTGTAAATTTTGTACTTTCTCCTTAAGCCAGTCAGAGTCCTTCCGGGCTTGAAGGACAACCTGCTGCAGATTTTGAAAGTCATTCTTGATTCTTAGAATAGCCAAGCTTGTATTTTCCATTGACTTCTGCAGGTCACTGATAAGATTTCTCTGCTGTACTTGTGTCAGGTTTAAGTTGTTCAGGTTCATGATGACCACATTATGAGAATGCACTTGGTTTTGCAGGTTTGTTTGAATATTACTTGTGTCTTGTTGAAGATTGTTGATATAGCCAGTATATGCTTGAAGAGTCTTATTGACACTGATGATCATGAAAGAGTTGCTATCTAGAGCAGTTCTCATTTGGCTCTGTCTATCATCTAATACATTTCCAGACTCTTGGAGCTTCTCCAGTGTATCTTTGTTTCTGGTAGTTTTCTCTGCAATGTCATGAAGCTGCTGACGAAGAGCCAGAATGTCAGATCTGAAGCTAGACAGTTCAGTGTTAGTATTCATGGCTTTTTGTCCAGCTTGGTCATCTGTTGTACAGGAAAGAAATGGCAAGGCTTTAGGATGAGTTTTTTAAAACACAGTATAAAAAAACCAGTCTATTTTAAGTACAGTCAGGTTGTGAAAATTTTCTGTCAATAGAACTTCTATGCTAGCTATTCCAGAAAAGATAAACCACTAAGGAAAGCTCTGCCACTAGACAGAAAAAATCAAAGGGATGAAGACCTTGTTTCTTGCTGAGGAGGACAAAATGGTGATTCTGTTGCCATATAGAGGAAGAACTACGATTAGAAAGTGATGAATATATGCAGCCAAGTTGTGCTTGCATTCTGAATGAAAACTGAATGGCAAGCAGAATTCAAAATATTAAAGAGGTATCACTAAGTTTATGTTTTGAAGTTACAACTGGCTATTGCTGAAAGCTCAGAAGTAAATTTTAGCTGTTCTTATTTTCTTACTCCTTTGCCTGGAAAGTGGAATATCTTCATAGTAACTTAGTAGATATCATTTCATTTTTTAACATCTTGGGTTTAAAAAGTTCTAATACCTATTTTACAACAATTTGTGTTAGAGACAAAAGCTTTGCCAGCAGGCTACTCCAGATATGACAGGATATGATGTATTTCTACTTTTCTCTCTAACATACTACTATGGCTTTTAACGTCATTTATTTTGCTCTTATTGTTCCCTCATGTTCTGAGTTTCAAGATGGAAAAACCTTTAATTTTAGTGGAACATCACTGCTCTTGCTTGCACTGCCCTACAGTGTACTTCTGGGAGCTTGCCTGAGTGTGATTAAGTTTTTGAGGTTGCACAGCTCATAAACCAGGACATAGAAACCAAAGAAACAGGCAGCTGACACTCGCTTTGAGGGAAGATTCCCTTCCTTGACATCAGTTGCGTCCCTCTCCTACACACAGTCCATATGTTTTTTGTCGTCATCTAAGTGTAGTTACATTTATGAATTATGCAGTCTGAAGTTCATCATTTCAGATGACTCCAAGGGAGAGCAGGATGGCTCTCCTAAACTACAGTGAATGCAGCTGTGTATGGAGCTTTCTTCTGGTGTGTTTGAATGAGTTATGATGGTGAACATCAAATGGTGGCTTGTGAGACTTCAGTCTGAAGTGTTTATGGAGTCTTTCGTGGATGGACATCTTCATGAACACAGTTCCTCTCCCTGCCACTTGTCTCACTGCAGGATCTTCTCAACTTTGACTATGTTTACCTGTTGGTTATAGCTCAAATTATATTGTGCTCCTCATGCAGCTCTGACAACTGCCAGGTCCACATACAGCTAATCTCTGAAGACCTGTCTTTCATTCACTACATGCTGTTACCCTTTTGGCCCTACAGCAGTTCTCTTTCTTACCTTTATGCCTCCTACACAATTTGCCCCATAACTTTTTTAGCTTCCTCCATGGCAAGTCCACTTAAATGGGAACTGATGGTTCTGAGCATCTCACTGGCCATCCATCCAGCAGTGTGTAAAAATGTGTGGGCATGAATGAAACAAAGGTGCTACAAGTTGTGAAAATTTAATCAGCATAATACAATAACCCAAATATAACTCAAAGTGTTGCATGTGCTTTAAGGTGTAAAATTTACTTCTGTATTTGTATCAGCAAAAGTACATGCCACTGAATTACCCTATGTCTTTGAACTAAATACACTGTGCAAATACTTCAGAATCCAGCTATTTTTTGAGGTGAAAAAGTTGTCAAAATTTATGATGAAGCTGCAAGCACTTTTTTCCTAGAAATATACGTCTCAATATATGGTTTATGAAGCTAAACAAAAATTATTTCAAGAAGCACATGCATGCATGTGTATATAGCAGCTTTCCAGTACCTAAAGGGGGCCTACAGGAAAGCTGGGGAGGGACTTTTTACAAGGGCATGTAGTGACAGGATGAGGGGCAATGGATTTAAACTGAAAGAGGGCAGACTTAGACTAGATACGAGAAATAAATTCTTTACTGTGAGGGCGGTGAGACACTGGAACAGGTTGCCCAGGGAAGCTGTGGATGTCCCATCCCTGGAGGTGTTCAAGGCCAGGCTGGATGAGGCTTTGAGCAACCTGGTCTAGTGGAGGGTGTCCCTGCCCATGGCATGGGGGTTGGAACTCGATGATCTCTAAGGTCCTTTCCAACCCTAGCCATTCTATGATTCTATGATTAATATTAATTCAAAAGCTAATTAGAAAAACTGTAAGTCTATGTATATATCAACTGATATTAAATCGTTCTGCTTCCTTTCCAGACAAGGAAGAAAGGTAGAAATGTACACTTAGTGATCCTTATCCATAATCTTTTTCCATCTTCCTGCAAATTAAGAACTGTGATAGCACTCAGGACACCTGAACTCATAACAACCTTATGCCCTCTATTCCCTGAGATGATTAAGTAACATTTCATGAAAGTAATCAACTTGTCTCAGACATAAGAGTTTTGAATAGCTGTTTATTTGTGGACCCCTTAAAAAGGCCTTCAGTTTGCAATCTTAATTGTTAAAACAGCATCAAGATGACTGGGTGACAGATTTTCATTTTATATAGAATCTCTTGTGCTGTGGAACAGCTTCTGCTATGTTTTCCATCTCTGTCTCAGAGAAGACTCTCCTGAGGACTACCTTTAAGTGTCTGTTTATTTTAGTATAAATTATTTTAGAGTGTCTTCATTGGGAACTGTAAATATTGAACTATGCTTAAAATGCCGTCCTAAGTATAACTGATCTTAACTATTTTTAAGTACTTTTCCAAGTACTTGAGAAATTGGAAAAGAAGTGCTGTATCTTATCATAGCCAGAGATTTTTCAGATAAATTTCCTGCTGCTATCTGCCAGGAGAACACGCCAAAGCCATAATACAAAGGGGTTTTGCTTGTGTGTAGATTACCTAATTTCTTCAGATCGCTCTCCACCTCTGTGAGCTTTTCTGTATATCTTCTGTGGGATGTTTCCAGGCCACCTGTCACATTGTCCATTTTTTCTACAACTAGGGAAAAGTATGTTACGGAAGGAAGAAAAGTGAAATTATTAAAAAAGTCTAGTAAACAATAAAGCAGACCAAAAAACCACCACTACCATCAAACAACAACAAAAAAACCACCTGAAAATTGCCTTGCTTGCCACTAAACTCTGCTGTTGCTCTGTGAAGTGTTGGAAGGATGAGCTCCTATCCACTGGTGGGACCCAGCGTTCTTCCAGTTCTTCAGTCTGCCAACAGTCCCCAAACATTTCTTTGCTCATGAGCAATCTCTCTCTCAAATGAGGAAATCCCTCTTTGTGGGTTTTCCTCATGAACCAAGTCCTTTTCTTTCAACAGTATTTCCATGCTCCAAGCAGAGTGCTGTGTGGCAAAGGCAGACTGATTGCTAAAGGCTCGCATGTATGAGAGAAGACTTCCTTTTATTTTGCTATGAGCCAATCCTGCTTAAAAAAGAACATTTCTCTTCTTGTGCCTTTTTAATCATTAAAAATTGCCACCTGGCTAGCAAACTTTGGTCTGAGATAGCAGTTTGAAGATGCAATTACTAAATGTTTTTAGGATCAACTTTTAAACATCTTGATAATGGTACAGATCATTCAAAACAGTCTTGAAACCATTTTGCCTCATTAAGATTGAAAGGATGGTCATTCAGCAAGCACAGATTTATGGCTGATGTGCTCTTTATTTTGTAACGTCTGAGTAATTTTCTTATCACTGAGATAATCTGATTATTTGATGGAACTGATACAGAAACAGAAAAAGAAGAGCAACAAATAAAGATCCTGGGGTAGCTTCCAGTGGCAAAAATGTGAAATGCTTGCAAGGTTAGAGGCAGCCTTCAGCTTCCACACCAAACCTTGTCTAATAGGCTTTTGCAGTCAAGCCACAACCGGGGGCAGAGATTTCTTCTCATCACAAGATTATTTAGACCTTTTGCTACCCTGGGAGCAGGATGGACCTGAACCTACCTTGGGAGAGGCTACACCAGTTATTGTGCCAGCCCTCCCTTTCAAACAGAAGAAAAAAGGTGCTTCCCATGTCTTATGGTAGTGAAGCCAATTCTGTAAATCTGTGTGGGGTAGAGGGTACCACTGACTCTTTCTGTCTGTGAGATAACCTGCACCTAGGAAATAGCTTCATAGAAATTGTTGCTATGTAAATATTTGGTTTTTTACTAGAAGTGGAAATTTAGGGGATCTTTTGCTGCTCATGAGCAACCATAAGAATCCCAGACCTTTAAAGTGTAGTCCACCAAGTGCTCCTTCTTTATTAATTTTTGACCATGTTTTTCTGACTCTGGGTACCACAGTTACACAGCAGGCTCTTATCACTTCCCCAAAACCAAGAGGAGAATTGATTATTATCTCTGGTGCAACTGCACTGAGGTGAATGGAGTTACAAAAGAGAAAAGTCTCAAGGTTTTCAGAAAGACCAGACACCCTTTGGTGAATTACCTGCCTGCTGCTATCTATACTGCTAGCAAGCCGGTAAAACAGAGATTCTACTGTGTGGGCAAAGACAGAGTGAGGCTTTCTGCATTTGAGATGATGGTAGATTGCTTGCTAAACACCAGAACCAGGCTACAGTAATAGCTTTGGTTTTTCAGGGTGACCATTGTGCAATACTTTCTGCTCTAGAAAGCATTTTCCCTCCCAATATAGTACTAATTTTTCATGGGTTCTTCTGCCCATTAAAGTTACTTGTCAAAATGCTGTATGCTGTTTTTCCTATATGAAGCCAGGGTTGATTCTCTGCTTTTTCCTGCCCGATTGTCTTCTAGGCTAAAACCCAGATCAGCAAAAGTCCTTTGTTACTTCTGATACTCCACTGATGCACATACACACATATGCATCATATACAGTGACCACAGGGACCATGCTTGGCTTTTCCTTCTGGCTAGCTCTAGGCAGATCCTTGTTCAGTCTGTGGTGTTCAGTCAGTGTCTGTTCACTATTTCAGAAGCAGTGACAAAATGTGCCATCTCACTAGGGTGTGTTGGCGCTACATAATGGCAGGCAAACTCTGTCTGTGAGACAGATAAAAGAAGTAGATGAAAGTCACAGGGCGCATTAGTCAAGAAACTTAAAAACAAGGACTGATCTGAGAAGGAGAACTATCAGAAATTCAAGCTGAGAGAGTCACAGGAAGATCATTCACCTTCAATAGGCTAATCTGACACTGGCTGATGCCAGAAGCATTATAACTTTGTATTTTGCACTTAATTTAAGAAAGTATGTGTAAAATATTACACATTGCTTCATTAATGTTTTAAACAATAACTTAATACGTCTTCTCAAAGCAAACTAATAGTAAACTCAGCTTGTTATTCCTTTGTGACCTTGATGTTTAATTTATGTTTTGGTTTCAGGTTTCTCCAACCTACTATGTAATTTTTACCACCAGTTTGGAGGTTTGTTCTATGTTGACTTTGCCTCCCATTGAGTTATTTTTTTGCCTGCCATATTTAATCCACTGATTAGTAGTTTTAATGTTTTAAATCACAAAGGATATATAAATACCATGTAGGAAATGAAAGTTTTAAAATTAGTTTTGGGCTTTATAAACATAAGTGTGGGAGGCAAATTTAATGGAAACGTAACTAAGAGACTGAAAGAATCCCTGATGCCAGCAGAATTCCTATGTTCAGTGTAATATTGCAATAAAAAAGACAAGCCAAAGTGATGCAGAGAGGAGAGTTCAAGAGCTCTATAAAATTTTGAGTTTTTTTTCTTCCTTTAAGGCCTAATTCCTTCCCAACAAACAAAATATTACAAAAATTCCTTTGAATACATACTGTCAGCTGGGGTTTTGTCTAACTCATGTTTTCCCTGAAAATTAGCGCTTAGGCACTGTGGAGACGAAGCTCTTAAGCTGCAGGTACAAAGGGTGAAATTAATGCCTGACGTAAGACCATTTGCTGCTTGGTGTTACAGCAGGGATGCCTTTTCTCCAGCGTA